GGAAAGGTCACAATTAACATTTTGTAAATGTGTTTTATTTCGTGGGACCCGGTAACTTCTGCATAGAGACGTCAACGTGACACAGCCACACGTTAAGGTTCAAGAATAAGCACCGAATATCCATCCATCCGGCCATTATCTGAGCCGCTTACCCTCATTCGGGTCGCGGGGTGAACTGGAGTCCATCCAAGCTGAATTTGGTCGCCAGCCAATCACGTTTCACGTGTCGACAAACAACTATGCATTCGCGCTCACATTCGCACCTATGGACTATTTTTCACTGAACTTCACATGCATGTTTTTCTAATGGGGGAGTAAGAAGCCCATAGTCAAGACTGAAACCCAGATCCTCAAAACTGTAAGGCACACGTGGCAACCACTCGTCACTGTGCTTGTTCAAGCATGAACTAATTAGAAGGCTTTAGTTTACACCATCAGGATTAGCCATCAGTGAGTTAAAAAAAAAAACATTTTAAACGAAAACTAATCACCGATTCGATCAGAAGATGGACCAATCTATTTAAACGGCTTATTTACTGTTGACAACCAATCATTGGATTTTGCCTCCACTTCAGCCGATCAGACCTGTGCAAAGCCCACAAATGATCTGTGCTCATAAGAGAGTTCCGGTTTCATTTGAGTCTTGAATTGTAGATGTTCTATTCCTCTCATGGTCGGAGGACATTTTCTGTATTCACCTCGTTAGCTACAGCGAAACGGCAAGGTGACACATCAGCCCTCCAGAGGACCTCACATAAAGTGTGATCCTCCCTTTTTGTGTCCCGCTGAGCTGATTGCCTTTGTTCTAAAAGCCCAGCGAGGCTTTCAGTCGATGTGCGACCAGATCTGAGCACCTGTTGTTTGAGCATCGATCCTGGTCGCAGGAAGTGAGGCAAGATTTGTGGCTAAAGAGTTTGACTGACGCTGTGTCCAAGTTGCCCAGTAGGATGTTGAATTCTTTCTGTGATTATGGGATATGAACGGCTCCGTGCCCTTGAAACACGCCCTTATCTTTGACCGCCATTATAGGCAACCGGTTTATTGACTCCTGGATATAAATCATTATCTCGGTGCATTAATCTACACCGGTTGATATACTTTCGAATCTGTGGTCGGTGCCCAATTCTTGAATAAATGTCTTTCGGGCAACGTCTGCAACATCCAGGATGCTGCTGTTACATGTCACAGCTAGTCTGTTTATTTTAAAGGTGAATGGCAGAGAGCGCAAGGCAGACTTGTCCGTTCTGAACAGCTCCCCCGGCAGGCTTTGTTTCTCTTTGTTTGCACTCTCTCACTCTCCAAGCAATGTGTTGTGATTGAGGATTAAGCTGCAGCCTCAGTTTGATAAAGAAGAGTCGGTGAGACCCGTGTGCCTGTACTCCGGGGGCCAGCTTTAAATGGCGGCAGCAGGCTCCTGCCCTCTCGTTGACCACGCAGAAAGCGAACACAGCATCTCTCAGCTCGGCTCCTACCGACACCAAAGGAGTCAAGCTGCTCAATATTTTAGGCCTTCAAACGGGGAAGTATTATTGCTGGTTCATATTTCAGTGCAACATCTATCCATGTTCGGCTGCTTATGCCGCACGCTCGCAGGGCATCCAGTCCAGCTCAATTTGACTTTGCAGAATTAACAGCTTGCCAGGACCTCCCAGTGGTTTCCTGAGCACTGCCAAGGGGCCCTTGAGCAATACTCCAAATGCCAGACGGCACAGCCCCTCCTCTCCGACGTGCTCTCCCTGATGTGAGTAAAAACTGCAACATACAAATGTGGTTCACGCGCCTGACTTATAGGCCGAAAAAAGGCATCGAATGCCCGTGACCCTTTGTTCTCTCAGGTGGCACTGTATGAAAAACTGGCATCATTCTGTTGAGGATGTTGCCACGTGGGCTCAGGAAGGCTTCAGAAAACCATCGTCAGTTAAAACGGTCTGTCACTACATCTACAGATGGAAGTTCAAATGCTGCCATGCAGATCGCTGGCTTCTCTGGGCTTGCGCTCATTTGAGATGGACGGATGCAGAGTGTGCTGTGGTCTGACGAGCCCACAATTGTTTTGAAGGCGACTCAGTGCCCATTCATAGTAAAAGAGTGCAAGTACGAGACTGACATGCCAGCAGTCCAGACCTGTCTCCATTTGAAGATGAATATTTGATAATAACTATTACATTTATACGTTTGAACAGTAAATATCTTGCCTTTGATGTGAATCCAAAAATAAAAATTTTAAAAAATGGGTGAGTTGCGTCACAATGGGAATCTGGTGGAAACACTGTGCCAAATAAACCATGCGATATGACCAACTGTGGCCGGATTCTGATTGGCATAGCCGAAAGCAACTCGATATATTTTACTTTCCCGTCAACAAGTCCGCCTCATATTTTTTCATTTTTTTTTGTCCTCTTTTCCTGGCTCTTGTTTCTCCCCGCAACAGGTGGAAAGTTTTGTAAAGCTGACACAGATAAGGCGCGGTGAGAATAATTATACACTGCCTAAGTGTGTCACTAAAATCTCCAAGCACCTTTTGATTATAAATTTATTATTCATGATGATAACTGAAGTACTTGTGTAGAACCATTTATTCGTATGCATTATTCATATAAACGAGCCGCACATAATGAATGTGGCAAATCAGCAGCGACTCGAGAAGAAGGGTCTGTTTATGTTTTCCCTCCCATTCTTTTGATTACACCCGTGCTACCCCCAAGGTGCCACTTTTTTCACACTGTCTGAGAAGAGTTTTCTTGTCACAAATTCAAACATAAAGCAAACATCATTTTTGTCATGTTGTATCGTGTCTGTAAATAATGGCAATTTTATTTCAATAAGTGGCTCCACAAAATAAAATCAAAATAAAAGCTGTATAGTCTACTTAAAAAAAAAAATGACTAGAATCCAGATGATCTTATTTTGTGCAACCACTTCACAAAACAAAAATTCAACAAAAACGTTTTTATAGTGTGTAAAAAATCGTTATTTCTCCACAGTCTAGCCATCAAGGAAATATTTGTAAGATTATATTTTCAAATGTGAAGACTTTCATTCCCTAAATAACACTTAGATTGCTCAAAAATTTATTGTACTATACATAAAATACTACATGAGTATCATCCACATTTTTCTATTTTCGAATTGACAATCTTCAAATTTATTCAATTTGAAGATTCAAAAAAGTAGTTGCACAAAATAAAATCATCTGTAGCCAGATACACTTTTCAAGTAGGTGTATAGTTTACTGAAAGATTTACTTGGATTCAAATAATAATAAACATACATTTCCATATATATATATATATATATATATATATATATATTTTTTTTTTTTTGGTCATTTTTAAGTAGCCTACTTCAAAAAAATAAAAATTTTGTGGATCCTCTTGACGAAATAAAGTGAAGTGAATGCAACACACCATTTTTTTTTTCCACTGCGAGTATTGGCAATGCTGATTTCCTTTGCTCCACAGATCGAATGTTAAAGTCATCTTGAAAATATGATGAGATTAACGCCAATGCAAGAACCTAGCATAAGAATCTTAGGTTTACTCGAGTGGGGATTTTCTTTGGCTTGAATGTACTGCATGTGCTCCCGTTGGTTTTTCCCCACCAGTGACCAGTCCAGGGTGTACCCGCCTCCAACCAGTCCTGACCTCAAATGGTCAGCTGATCAGCAAGCTCCACAGGAGCCTGAGAAACAATCCTGATCATCTGACTCAGGTGTGTTGGAAGAGGCAGACATCTAAAAGAGGCTGGGAAGGTGCTCTGGAGGACCGGAGTCACCTCTCCGAGCGTTCAGGGGCGCAGGGTTCAGTTCACAGCTCGGCAACTATTGACAGTAGCATGTCGTCAATGTTTATACAGTAGATGATGTTTCTGTGGCTCTGGCGTGTTTATTTCGGTCGGTGTGTGAGCGTACACGCCTCTGACTGGAGTCGTAGTAAAGAGTTTTCCTCGGGTCGTCAGTCTCTTCTCCTCGGGGTGCATGGCCTGAAAATGTATGTTATGGGTCTGGAGTGCTGAGTGCACTTGTGAGTTTCACAAGAACATCAAAACACAATCAAGTCGCGCGGGTCCCCGAGGCTCGCAGCCGGGAGTCGGCACTTAGGGTAAGAGGGGCTCAAGAAGGGAGGAAAGGGAGGGAAAGAAGTTGAAGGTATTAGGGCAAACGGGGGAAAGAATGTGCCGTTTGAAAAGAGATGAATAAAAAATGCAGTGCGCGAGAGATGGCTTTGTTGAAGCCAGAGGTGCCGTTTCAAAAATACATCAGAAAAGTCACTTTGCTATTTGTTTTACCTCAACAGTCACCAGGCAAAGTTATTTCCTTTTGACCCCGAAATGTTGACTCGGCTGCTTGTATTTTCCAATTTGAAAACGGGCCTGATTCTTGGGGGCGCAAATGCATTCATCTGATATGAATTATTGGAAAACGTCTGGGTGTTCGCGACTAAGCAAATAACTAGCCAGTAGGAATCTATTGTATATTTTAATATAAACTTCATTTTGAAGGCTGTTTTTTTGTTTTTTTTTTTTTTGGTCGTTAATGATTGTTTTGACTTTTCAGAGATAGTCTTTGTCTGAGCCTGCATTTTTGGAATCCAAAAACATGTTTCGGTTCAGTCTGAACCTGGCAACGTGTGTCCCTTGTCGTACTCAATGGTAATTAAATAGCTCTGTTTGTGCGCTTGTGTTTTCACTTCACTTCAACAAATATCAACAGAAAACAACTCACCTGATTACAGGGAGGGTAACTGTAGTGTTGTACTTGACAAAATGTGCTCAGAGATTTATGTAGTACTGAGAGAAAGAGAAAACTCATCCATAAAAGCTGCATGAGAAGACAAAGCGCGGACTCTGCAGACGAAAGGTTGGACAGATTACCTCAGTCCAGACTTCCATCCATCTACTGAGGTATCAAAATTGATTGGGGGAAAAAAAAAATCAGGGGGGGATTACAACTTGCATCCTTTAAGTACATTTATAGAACAGCAAATTACTTTTACGTTTCCCTGTTTTTATTTTTTGGAGTGAGGCCAAGCCTGGGAATAAACTGACCCCTAAAAACAACTTTCCATATGATCCGTCAGGGAAACAAAATGGCAGCGTGAAACTTGAGTGTTAATGTTTCTGATTCTCGGAAAATTTCGAGATCCGGCCCATATGAGATTTCCTGAGTTTGGAGATGTCCACGCTTGTCATTAAAGAGCGCAGCACGGGGGGTGGGGGTGATGTCTTAGTCGAGAATGCGCCGCATAGCCCGGGTAAGACTTAAGACATTAATGGGCAGAGAAAAGCCAGGCAACGTCAATGTCAGCCTCTCCGCGAGGCCCCGGCGAGATCAGAGACTTTGTCGGAGCCAGACAGGGAGGCTAGAGGTGCTCGGAGATACAGACAGAAGAAGGGAAAAGGGAAAAGTTACCTAGTGACAAGCAGACAGAGGGAAGGGAAAGCACAGAAGGGGCCAGGGAGAAAAACACTGACAGGGAGGGAGGATAAAGAGAAGACATGTTCCTTCTGCCACTTGCCTTTGCTGACTCCAGATTATGCGCTTCATTGGCCGCGTGTCACCTTGTGTACGCCTTGTGAAAAACATAGCAAGAGCCAAGCCGGTGAATGCATATGGCCAGCGCGCTGACAACTGAGTCGGACAAAACTTTCTGCAGAGTATATTTAGGGTTGTTCGACTGTGGAAAGAGAAATCCAAATGCATGCCAGGCCATAGACTTGAGCTGTACCGTAAAGGCCGGAAAAGACTGGCGGTCGTGCGAATAAAGGCCATGCGACGTGATGGAGGGACTACGTGGCTGTCTGGACGCCTGCTGGAATGGACCGAAATGAGGAAAGGAGTTGAAAGCAAAAGGTGTCAAGTTTCAAGTAAGAATTCCTTCCTGGAACTGCTTCGGATTGCGATTGAAGTCACCGAGAAGCTAAATGGCGCTTATGTTGAATTAGGAAGCCTGCTCTGTTGTAGCATTTCCCTGACGGAGTTTTTGCCACGCGTCATTTAGTACAAGTCCAAAAAAAAAAACCCCAAAAAAACCAGCATATAATCTGACACTGTCAGAGAAGGAGTCATTGTAGAAATAATGAATTCGTAATGGAATTTTGGAGCGTCCAAAAGACATCTGTTTATTTATTTGAATGGTGTTCACATTTTTGTGTAATAGTTCAAGATCTCATCTGCGTCGCAAATGGTCTCATGTCGTCCAAATCTAATGACGGCTGTATGAGAACACATTAAACTGAGAGGCTCCTCCACTTGTTTTTTTTTTTCCCCTGCTCATTATCTTTTGGTTGTTTGTTTTGCACGGTTGGTGAATGCGAGTTAAATTGCACGCTGCACATGCTTGAAGTCTTGAAATTGACTTGGTCGGTCTAAGACCGGCCAAGTGCCCCTGATGAAATCCTTTGTCGCTTTGGCAATGTCCATCCATCCATTTTTTAGACCGCTTATTGTTAGCAAGGTAAGATGGAGGCTCGCCCAGCTGACTGGGCATAAAAAAAATTAAAAAAAAAGAATTCGCAACACACCTCCTTTGTTCAGTTCTGCAATTATCTGCATTGTGAAGGATCTTTTTTTTATGTTTCTAGAGACTTTCATACTTAGAAATGGTAAAGTTGTGTATTCAGTCCAGATGTAATCAACTGAAAATAGAAATTCGAAATACTGACATCGCATCTCAGCTCCATCTTTTGACGTCAAACTAAAATACTTTCAGCCTAACATAAAAATAAAAGGATTGGCCGAACTGATCATACAGTTTAGAGAGGCATGTACATGCGTGCGGTGTGTGAAATCGCGCCAAAAGAATTATTTTTTTTTTTCAAAATTGTATTAATGGCTTAAGTCTACATTATTAATAAAACATTACATATAGCATATAGAATCAATCAGGGAAGGGAAACGGTGCTAATTTCACCAACTCAATTGTGAACTACATCCCACCCCAACATTTAACTTTCAACTGAAAGTTGCCGTCTATAAAGGAGTCCCTTTTGACTTTCTTTCCGCCTTTTCCCTTTGGGGTTAAGAATCTATTATTCATCCTTTCTCTTCACACCAGGAGGGCCCAGTCCAAGACTGTTTGAAACTTGCAAGGATGACATAAATGAAAAAAAAAAAATCCGATGCAAGAACTCCATCATCTGACATCTTTTTTTTTTTGGCGGGGGGATGCATACGTTATTTGTAGGTCAAACTACAGTGGAGCTAATGTCTTACAAACATGACTCCTTATGGGGGTCCAGAAATGGCTCACATGGACTCCAGCTATAAGCGAGAGGTACCTGTAGATTGCCGATTATTTAAGTGATATAAAAGGAAAATGGCCGAAGCTCGCAGGAGTCCAGGCAAGGCACACTTAATAATCTCGTTCCCATTTTTACAATATGTATTTGACATCATTAGGGGTGGCCTTTGGTTCTAAGTGGCCATTATTAAGTTTTGAGATCGTCACAAGTCAAGCGCCCAGCCTTCATGCTTGCAATGAAAACGACATTAAATGTGAACTTTCATTTCAGACTCGTGTTTTTATTACAAAAACTTCAAGAATTAAAAATCAAGGTGTGAGGCTATGCAAGCATTGGCCTTGGAGACTTACGTTATTTTTCAGTGGTTGGGAGGAGGTCCCAAGAGAGAGAGAAAAAAAAGGAGCAGTCAACATATGTGTCATGTTCTGTCTTGATTGTGTTCCAGCTCCAGCTGGAGTGAAGGGCGTTTCCCTCCAGCAGGCGCACCTGCGCCGCGTTTCCCCATCAAGCCTGGCTATGAATTTCAGGACTGACAAGCTGCCTGTACCTTGTCGGATTATTGACCTTGCTTGCTGTTGTGCTTCAAGTGTGATTTTTTTTTTTAAAGACCTCTCATTTTGTTCATAGATCCTCATTTGTAGGTATTATTTTGTTTTTCAATTATTGCTCTTGATCATGGTTTTTGTGTTATTGAATTTTGCCTTTGCAAGCGCTTTTTGTTTCATGCATTATTTTTCATGGCTCCTTGTGACCAGAGATTTCAGTTTTTACTTTGTGCGATTTTCTTTCATAAATATATATATATATATTTAATCATGCTTTGTCTGAGCCTGCATTTTTGGAATCCAAAAACATGTTTCGGTTCAGTCTGAACCTGGCAACGTGTGTCCCTTGTCGTACTCAATGGTAATTAAATAGCTCTGTTTGTGCGCTTGTGTTTTCACTTCACTTCAACAAATATCAACAGAAAACAACTCACCTGATTACAGGGAGGGTAACTGTAGTGTTGTACTTGACAAAATGTGCTCAGAGATTTATGTAGTACTGAGAGAAAGAGAAAACTCATCCATAAAAGCTGCATGAGAAGACAAAGCGCGGACTCTGCAGACGAAAGGTTGGACAGATTACCTCAGTCCAGACTTCCATCCATCTACTGAGGTATCAAAATTGATTGGGGGAAAAAAAAAATCATACTAAGCTCTTCCGCAGCAAGTAAAAAAAAAAAAAGGAATTTCCCTGGATTCTTTTTTTAGTGCAGATTGAAGAGTAGGCCATCTTCTCCCCACAATGAAATGCAAAGTGGAGCAGAGGAGGAGTAAAAGTAGGCCTGAATTATGCTAATTAAGGAGGCAGGCTCACACTCGAAAGCACTCCAGCGATTCCGTGTTGATTCTGATTAAAACATTTTGCTGGTCAGGATCCTGACCTAAAAATGTGAAGTTGTTTTTTTGTTTTCCTTGGTGTGAGTCTATTCAACTTATAAACAACGAAAAGTCGTGGTGGTGGTTCGACATAAAATAGACCGGTAAAATGAAGAATCTGAGGGTCTATTTTGTGCACTCGTGTGCATGCGCGTCTCGTATGTGACAGACACCAACCGAGGGGGTTTGTCTTTTCATTTCCCTGAACTTGAAGTTACATCAGTAACTTTCTCGCTCCTCGCCATTAATTTTCCTCTGGCGTTGCCTGTCAGCGCTGACATTGATGTTACCTGATGTCTCAATAATAAAACACAAGAGGAATGTTTGCTTCCAAGGGAAGAAGAGCAAAACAGTGCTCGATGTTGTCCTGAAACCGAAACCCTATTGTGGCTTCCCCCCCACCCCCCAGCACTAAATTAAAAATGATCCAGCATCCTCGGATGTGATGGTGTCACACCGCTAATTCATCATATGTCTGTCTAAGCTTGTGGCGCTCGTATGACGGTCCCCCCGGTGGTCTTTGACGACGAAATGGCACAGAAAGCTAAAGCGTCCTTTATTGGCAATTAACATGGCCTCATGAATAACTCTGGTCGGTGGTTTTACAGTCAGAAATCAAATGCGGCGCGAATCGAGTCCTATCGTTATTGATTCTTTGCTGTTTCTCCCCTCCGAGGTTCGCCGTGTAACAATCAATCACCGGAAGCGAGCTCTGTCCCTCACACCCACTGATGGAATATTGACAAATGACGACATTTGAAAAGAATGATGGGTGCCCTGAAATGTTGTAAATCTATGAGGCCACTTGTTAACTGTCCAGCACATCCACTGACTCGAATACTTAGAGTCAAGTATTACTCACTGACTTGGGGGGAGGGGGGGCCTTGGGATAGACAGACAAATAACAACGCTTTTGAAACTTAATCACCGATATCGTGTTCGTCGCAGAACCGAACCCCAAGTGTGTCTGATTAGCTTGCTTCACTTGTTAACTTCTGTTTGATTTCTTTTAAGCTTCACTGATGGTGTTATTGAGCTTCCAAAGCACCACCACTCCTGAAAGAGTATCTTGTCCAACCATGCCGGAATAATTTCAAATCTATGTTAACATGGCTTATTCAGAAAAATAAATGAGCTGTCACCTGCATTCATTGGGCATTTTCTATACTGCTCATTATGATGAGGGTCACAGGTGAGCTGGCACCCACACTGAACAAAAACATCGATTTAAAAAAAATTGATCTGGATGCAGATGATTTCATTTTGAGCGCCCATTTGATGAAATGAAATTGGGAGAATTCAATTCATCATTTTTATCAGTGTAGGACACATACAAACAACCTATTCCCACTCACATTTACACCGATGGCCAATTTGAGTCTGAACCAAACATCAGGGGTGTGGGGGGCTATCAGGAATTTGGGGAGATTCCTGAACAGCCAGTCCATTCCAGAGCCAGTCGAATAGGAACACGAATCACAGGAGAGGATGTGAGGGAGATAAGCGGGTCTTCAGCATGCAGCTGCATCACCATCCAGTTGAAAGAATCCAAAGTAACGGTCGTTTCGGGAACGATAATTTTCATCATCCTTGAGTCTTTCAGTCTTTCAACAATTGTCCGAATTGGCGATCAAGTCCGAGTGGTACACAGGAACCATGAGTTGAACCAAAATCGTCAGAGCTGTGAGGGAGACGCGTTACACCAATTGGTCGCCATGCAAAATGTTATTCATGTTCAAATGAGCCTAGGCGTTCACGTTCTTTATTCAAAACTTTTTTTGAAACCACCATGGCAGCACTCAGCTGCCTCGTTTCCTATCTGACACTTAGAATTGATGTCAAAGAGTTCAGTATTGGTTTCAGAAAACATTCTTTGCCTGCGTATCTGTCAATCAAACGCCTTTTAATGAGGACTGGCTTCGGTCTGGGGCACTCCGTCATAAAGGTCACATTGGTATATGGCCGCATGGATATTTTCCATTTCCGCAGAAGAACGCCGGAGCTCCATCGAGCTCTCGACTTTTCTTGACCTGGTTTGGCCGGAGGAGCGGCTCTTTCGCTTAAAAATGGTGACTGCTGCACTCAGGGGGACCAACCATGTTGCACAATTTGTTTGTACACTTCCCCACTCTCTTCTAATCATAATACAGAAGCGCTCCCTTTATATTTCTATTTAGCATACAAGTGTATTCATCCCTCTTGGCGCACATGTTGTGAGAAGTTGTTGGCAGATGAGAGAGAGGAGCAAAACTGAAGTTTCCAAGGACCATGAGGAGGACGGCAGGACCGTAGATGTCTACGGCCAAGCGTGTGCCTTGCCTGATCATTTCCAATCAATACAATTCAGTCAGAATCAAATCAGGTTGCCAAAACATCAAAGGATAACCGGCGAATGCATTTGAGCTAACTTTAACGCGTCATAGTAAATAGTGAGAATAGTTATTTTTAATACATGTACATAGTTTGGGGGGGGGTGGTCACATGGTAATCTGAATTTGTCTTTTGATAATACAAAATATATCTTTTTTTTTTCTGGGCGGGATCCACACCAACGCTCCACCTCCTTTTCAAATCATCCCAAGTATGTCAAGCAAATGGTTAGCAAAAAAAATGTATAACAGTAGGTTTATATAATGACACACACAGAAAAAAAAAACAATCTGAAGGAATAAGAGCAATACAAATTAACTTCATCGGCAGCGTTCAATTGATTGTGAGCAGCGTTCTCCTGAACCCAAACTACATTTCCTGCTCTAATTTCCCCTCCTCCTCTCGTTATTGTCGATGACTAGGGTGTTAATGATTGCATCTGGCGGTGCCACAAATTAATTCCTGCCTCTCTGGCAAAAAGCTGTTCCCCACCTGATTATGCAAAGCAGGCCTATATTCTCTCTCTTTGAAGTGGAGGAAAAGCTGCTTAGAGATTCCCCCCTCGAGGAACCGAGGCAACATGGGGAACATCAACAAACCCGAGTTCACGCAGAGGTCAGCAAGATGGCTGACCCTTTTGTACCCTCGCTTATCGCCTCAGATCATCTCCGTATCTTTTGCCCTTGCGTTAAGACGTGCGTCGATAAGATCCGGCAGCTGCATTTCAAAGAGGGTCAGCAAAAACGACCAATAAAAATAACCATGGAAACGTACTCAGTGGTGTGCGTTCACCCATTGAAGGGAGATGGAACTGGTGCGGGGGATATTGTATCTGCCACAGTGTAATGTTTCCTCAGTCGGCTCTGCTTTATCTCCAGGGTCCAAAAATACAATAAAGTAAATGGCTGGGGCACCATCCACTTAGGTAGGCGACATAATAGGAGACGGGGTGGGACACTGCCCAGACAACTCAAATCAACCAAACTTGAAAAAGCTAACCTGGGAAAGCAAGTCGCTAATGTTAATTAGCCTCCTGGTAAACACAGTAACCTCTTTCTATATATTTGTAAGCTTATGTTCAATTATTAATTATTTTCATTTTATATTTGAGCATTATGTTTTGTGTTACAGTTACCTAGGTTATATTCCGTTTAATAATTGCTTAAAAAAAGTTGATGTTGATGTTATCTGATTGGTTAAGGAAACCAGGAAGTGTTTGGTGTTTCCGGGAAGGAGGTGTGTTCTTGTTCGTTCGTTCGGAGGTGCAGCCGTTGGGGGAAAATAAAAACTGCCTTCAAAGGATTCCATCTCTCCTTTTGCCCATTTTTAAAGTAGAGCTATCCACAGAAAAACTACGAACCTCTCAACTTACATTGGTGGCAACGGTGGTGGTATGTTTTGTGTGGCTTTTTGACTCTTTTTATGCAACGATTTTTTTCTTGCTAATTGTCATGTTGCTAGCCACGTGGATTTTTATTGCTCTACTGAATGGCTGCTGCTAGTCAGTATTTCGGATGAGATTTTGAGGTTTCCTGCAGTTGTATTAATTTTTTTCCCCCTACCTTTTTTTGGACATTTTTACCATCGTTATTCAACCTTTTTGAGCTCACCATGCCCGATACTGAGACGTCCATGAATCGACCCACTGCAATGGTTCGTTCTACTGCCACTGATATGGCTGCTGTGAATGTTACTCCACCAGGATGCCTCAACATTGATTTACCACCAGTTTTTGAAGGTGATGGGACTGTGTCCTTTACCAGCTGGTCTCGACGGTTTGGGGTGGCTATGCAAGCCATGTCCAAACAACCATCCGCTGACCTGTCATCTGTGCTGGCTTCAGTTTTACCAACAAGGTTAGCTGAGGCTGCATTTCTGTACTGGGATAGCCTTTCCCCCACAGTCAAGGAGGACTACGGGGCTGTCAAGAAGAGGCTCCAGGATGTTTTTGGTCTTGACCACTCCCTGACATTTTTCCAAACCCATGTCAATGCTCGTCCCCGCAAGCCCGATGAGAGCCTTGAGGTGTACAGTGCTGACATCACGCGCCTCGTTATGGAAGCCTTCCCTGACTACGGCCG